ACATTAACATGACATATACTTGCACACATATACCACCTATACCCTCTTACATCACCTATACGTCCTACACCACCTATACCCCCTACATCACCTATACGTCCTACACCACATATATCCTCCTACATCACCTATACGTCCTATAACCACCTATACCCTCTTACATCACCTATACGTCCTACACCACATATACCCTCCTACATTACCTATTCGTCATATACCACCTATACCCTCCTACATCACCTATACGTCATATACCACCTATACCCTCCTACATCACCTATACGTCCTATAACCACCTATACCCTCTTACATCCCCTATACGTCCTACACCACATATACCCTCCTACATCACCTATACGTCCTATAACAACCTATACCCTCTTACATCACCTATACGTCCTACAACACATATACCCTCCTACATTACCTATTCGTCATATCCCACCTATACCCTCCTACATCACCTATACGTCCTATACCACCTATCCCCTCCTACATCACCTATACGTCCTATAACCACAAATACCCTCCTACATCACATATACGTCCTATAACCACCTTTACCCTCCTACATCAGCTATACTTCCTATACCACCTATACCCTCCTACATCACCTATACGTACTATAACCATCTAGACCCTCCTTCATCACATATACGTCCTAAACCACCTATACCCTCCTACATCACCTATACGTCCTATACCACCTATACCCTCCTACATCATCTATACATCCTACACCACCTATACCCTCCTATATCACCTTAAGTAACTATATCCTCATACATCATCTATACCTTCTATTCCACATATACCATCCTACATTATCTATACCCTCTTACACCACCTAAACCCTCATACATCACCCGTACTTCCTATACAACCTATACCCTCCTACGTCAACTTTACCTACTATACCACCATAACCCTTCTACATCATCTTTACTTCCTACACCACCTATACGCTCCTACATCACCTATACGTTCTATACCCTCTTTGCCCTCCTACATCATCTTTACTTCCTATACCCCCTTTGCCCTACTACATCACATTTACTTCCTATTCCATCTATACCCTCCTACATCACCTATACGTTCTATAACCTCTTTTCCCTCCTACATCATCTTTACTTCCTGTACCCCCTTTGCCCTCCTACATCACATTTACTTCCTATTTCACCTATACCCTCCTACATCACCTTTACGTCCTATACCACTTATACCCTCCTACATCACCTTATACGTCATATATCCTCCTACATAACCCATACGTCCTATACCCTCCTACATAACCTATACGTCCTATACCCTCCTACATAACCTATACGTCCTATACCCTCTTTGCCCTACTACATCACCTAAACGACCTACACCACCTATACCCTCCTACATCAACTATACGTTCTATACCCTCTTTGCCCTCCTACATCACCTATACGTCCTACACCACCTATACCCTCCTATATCACCTTAAATAACTATGTCCTCTCACATCACCTATACGTCTTATTCCACATATACCATCCTACATTATCTATACCCTCTTACACCACCTTTACCCTCCTACATCACCCGTACTTCCTATACAACATATATCCTCCTACATCAACTTACATTCTATACTACCATAACCCTTCTACATCAACTTTACTTCCTATACCACCTATACCCTCCTACAGCACATATACTTCCTATAACCACATATACCCTCCTACATCACCTTAAATAACTATATCCTCCTACATCACCTTTACTTCCTATACCACATGTACCCTCCGACATAATCTATACCCTCTTACACCAACTATACCCTCCTACGCCGCCTATACTTCCTATACCTTTCTACGTCACCTTTACTTCCTATACCACATATACCCTCCTACATCATCTTTACCCTCTTACATCACCTATACCATTCTACATCATCTATACCCTTTTACACCACCTACACCATCCTACGCGTCACCTTTACTTTCTATACCTTCCTACGTTACCTTTACTTTCTATACCTGCATACGTCACCTTTACTTTATATACCTTCATACGTCACCTTAACTTCCTACGCCACCAATACCCTCCTACATCACCTATAATTCCTAACCCACCTATACCCTCATACGTCATCTATACTTCTTATACCACCTATACCCTCCTGCATATGTACATCACATTTAATTCCTATACCACCTATACCCTCCTACATCACCTATACATGTACTTCCTTTACCGCCTACACCCTTCTACATCACCTACAAATGTAAACTGAATTTACCATCTATACCCTCCTGCATTTATTAAGTTATTATGTTCATTTGATTTATTTCAATATTTTTATTTCATTTTATGATTTTATTGGCAGGGGCCTTGTACCTCTCGAACCACACAGGCAGCACCCCCGATACATATTGCGTGTTGATCACAGGACTTACATAATTCGACCTGGACGTAAACAAAACCCACAACAAAAACAATAAAATTAACGAAAACCATACACACATAGCGATAAAACTAGAAATATTTTATAAAATGAAATTCGCCGTTTAGACGCACTAATTATATATCTTCAATCCAGACTACCCTGGTGTCATTACGAAACCTTCAGCCCATCAGTGATGAAAGTATTTGTAGATTTAGTGTAATTTGGTTCATATATTCATATGAACAGAATGATATCAGTATGGAAATTAAATACTTAAAATATACAAATAACTTATAACTCAATTATTTTCTACTTAAAATTTTACTGGCCAATTAAGGTACGTGTATACATGCATTCATCAATCAGCACACGACGCAGCCCAAATATTTGAATATAAATATAAGTCATTGCTAAACTTCCGACCGATTATTTCCTGTATTTATCTATTTTATTTGTATATTTATTTTGTTTTTAATTTGCAAACTTTATAATCCTGATAACTATTTTTTATATAAAAACCTTTCAGCACTCACATATTCTTAAAATAACCTGCACATCGATCGTTTTCTTACATAACCAGCAAAACGCGTGTTCAACGCACATTCAACGCTAAAGTTAAAACGCACAACAAACGATCAACGCAAACGCAACTCAAACGCAACGCAAACGGAACGCAAACGCAACGGAAATTCAACGGAAACGCAACGAAAACGCAACGGAAACGGAACGCAAATGCAACGGAAACGCAACGCAATTTTGGTAAAGAAAAACGGTCCAGGGTCTGTAAAATGGTGATGGTCTAATTAAGACCTTTGGCCTTAATATAGAGAAGACCATTTAAAAGAGGAGGTCTGGTAATAGAGGTGGTCTCTTAAGACAGGTGGTCTTGTAATAAAGGTGTTCTCAGACACTCTTAAGCCTGGAGGTCTTGTAATAGAGGTGTTCTCTTAAGCCTGGACGTCTTGTAATAGAGGTGGTCTCTTAAAACAGGAGGTCTTGTTATAGGTGTGATCTCTTAAATTTGAGGTCTTGTGATAGAGGTGTTCTATTCAGACTGAAGTCTTGTAATGGCGAGGGTCTCTTAAGACAGGAGGTCTTGTAAAAGAGGTGGTCTCTTAACACAGGATGTCTTATAATAGAGGGTTGTCTCTTAACACAGGATATCCTTTAATAGTGGTTGTCTATTAAGACATGTGGTCTTGTATATAAGGTGTCCTCTTCAAATTGGAGGTCTTGTAATAGAGGTGGTCTTTTAAGACAGGATGCCAGAAGGAGGCGCGGTAGTCTAGTGGTAGAACGCCGGGCTCGTGATCGAAGGTTTGCGGGTTCGAGGCACGGCACGGCACGGCACGGGGCACGGGGCACGGGGCACGGCACGGGGCACGGCATGGCACGGCACGACACTGTGTTGTATCCTTGTGCAAGATATTTTACTCCGCTTGTTCCAGTCTACTCAGCTGTAAATGAGTACGTGGTTGAGCAGTGCTAAAATTGTAGAATGCTAGCTGTGAACTTCGAAATGGCAGCACCGGTTGTATGCTTCCCAGGGAATTGAGAACGATATTGGCTGGTTGCAAACGCCCTATAACCACGGATAATGATTTTTGAACCGCTTTGGGACGACCTACGTACTAGGTTGTGATAAAGCAGTATATAAGAACCTCGAATTATTATTATTACTATTATTATTGTAATAGGGGTGGTCTCTTAAGATCTGTGGTCTTTTCATAGAGTTGGCTTTTAAAACAGGTGGTCTTGTAAAAGAAGTGATCTCTTAAAACTTGAGGTTTTGTGATAGATGTGGTCTTTTAAGACAGGAGATTTTGTAAAAGAGTTGGTCATAAAGGCATGTTGTTTTGTAATAGAGGCGGTCTCTAACACAGCTCTTGTAATAGCGGTGTTCTCTTAAGCCTGTAGGACTGGTGAAAAAGGTGGTCCCTTAAGACTTGAGGTCTTGTAATAGAGGGGTTCTCTTAAGCCTGGAGGTCTTGTAAAAGAGGTGGTTTCTCAGACACATGTTGTTTTGTAATAGAGGGGGTCTCTTAAGACAAGAGGTCTTGTAATAGAGGTGTTCTCTTCAGACTGGAAGTCTTGTAATGGAGATGGTCTCTTAAGACAGGATGTATTGTAATAGAGGTGTTCTCTTCAAACTGGAGGTCTTGTACTATGGGTGGTCTCTTTAAACTGGAGGTCCTGCTAAAGAGGTTGTCTCTTAAGGCTTGTGGTCATGTAGAGATGATCTTGTAGAGATAATCTTTTAAGAAAAGTTGTCTTTCAACAAAGATGGTCCCTTAAGACAGGTAAGTACTAGGTTTCTTTAGACAGGTTTAACAGGTTTAACAGGTTATACTTCACCAGACATTAGATTGACACTCCTGAAATTAAATTGTCATTACACAAGCTATATAATACCTTACGTATATCATAATCATATAATGAAATTTATTTCTATGTTGCGTCAATGTATATGAACAATTACCCAATGATGCGGTTTCCATTTATTTGGAGTTATTTGATTGTACCAATTAACCTCTTTAGAATTCAACGCAAATACTCGTGGTTGTAGGAGGGATTGCGCATGCGTGATACTGAGGACAGTCGTTTTCAACCGGCTCCGCTAAAAAGTGCCTTTAAAGGTGTTTTAAGGACTTTTTTACCTGGATTTTTAAGCAGTATTTGTGTGTAAAGTATTTTATCGTCATATTGTGTGGATTCTGAAGTTTTAAAGTGTGTGCATACCTTATATCTCTGAAGGTGAAGCCTGAAGACTAACATACGAGAGGGTGAGTAGTCCTCCCCAGGACAAAGTAATAGTACATTTTGGGAGCGAGCAAGGCTGGACATAGGGAAGCTCTGTGTCTGCTGAACTCAATTCCGCATCGACTTAAACATTCAATATGCCATATTATAAGCATTCCCAGGAGATAACCACACTAGACAATTGCCTTGATGAGTATGTGTCGGTCGTCCTGGGTCCCCAAGTGGTACGGGCTGAAACAAATACCAGTGTCCCACATATTTCCCCATCCACCCCGGCCAGAAAGAGAAACATTTCTTCTGAATCAGAATCATCTACTACCTATGTCGTCCAGCCTACTAAGAAAAAGTTAAGAACTGGTGTAAATAAACAAACTTTGACAGTCAATAGTGAATCACCCCAATTGGTGCCTCCCACCCAAAACACAGGTGAAACAGCTACGGCTATTGCCCGGGTCGAATCTTTAGTGCTACAGTTGACAGACAATATGAGTAGCATGCATCTGCTTTTTACCAATAGACTTGATATGGTTGAAAACAACGTTACAGAAAGAGTGGCTACACTTGTTGACAGCAAAATTAAAACTGAAATGTCTAAAATGAAATCCGAAATCGACACCGGAGTAAAGCGCGAAGTCGAAAATTTAAGAGCCGAATTCGAAAGGAAAA